TGACCGCATTCCTTTCCCCTCTTCGTTTGTGCTCTTCGGCTCTTGTGTTGGGTGGCCCCTATGCGTGTCTCTGACAAGAACAATCAACCCGTTAGTGCACGTGACAGAAGGGCAATACATCTAGCCATGTATTGTAGATAAGCGAGTAACACCACACACCACACACCACACATGATATAATGTGATTCATGATCGATGCTGCATGAAACCAAGCGACCCCACCCTACTACAATACACTTACATGCATGCATACATACTTGTATACACCCCCCCCACACATCCAACACACAGGAGAGAAAGAGAGAGGGAGAGGGGAGGAGAGAAGTGAGAAAGAGAGAGAAGTGGAGAGAAGAGAGAGAGAGAGTTAGAGAAGAAAAAGAGAGAGAGAGGAGGAGACCAGAGCGTTGAGAGAGAGTGAGAATGATAAATGAATGAATTAAATGACGTGAGTGAGTGACGTGAGTGAACTATTATGAATGAAAATGAATAATATTTATATATATAATATATAAATATATCATATATATATATATATATATATACGTATAATATACGATATAATATATATAACATTATATATCACAACAATATCAACAATGCTATTAAATGAGTTTAAATGAATCAGCTGTTTGAGTAACGCTATTTAGCATTTTGTCAGGATTGCATTTCCAAGGCGTGATCTTTTAAAGTCGCGACTGACGTATTGGCAGGACTATCATCTTCTTTAGAACGTTCATTCGGTTCAATACCGCTTCTACCGTCTACTTAAATCTCTTTCACAGTCTCTTCCTCCTTTCTTCCTCATCTTTTCTCTTCTCCTCATTCTGTTCCTTTGCCCTCTTCCGTTTCCCTTTCTTCTTCTTCCTCTTTCCCTTTCTACCCTCCCTCCCTCCCTTCTCCCTCCTCCTCCCTCACTCACCCCTTCTCCCTCACTCACTCATCCTTACTCCTTCTCCCTCTCCTTCTTCTTACTCCTCCCTCCCTTTCTCATTCTCCACCCCTCCACCCCCATTTTCCTCCCCCTTCCCCTCAACCACCCCCCGCCCCCCCCCTCCCCGGCCCCCGTGGATCGCCTGATTATGGTCAGGGAGCGAGAGGCGGCCATAAGCAGACATCCAAAGTCCGGTCGGTAATTGCGCCCCAGATTTTATGCAAATGAAGGCACTGGGCGAGCTTGTGGCAGGCAAAGAGTGGTGGTCAGGGGGAGGGGGGAGGGGAGACTGCATGCAACGTGGCACCTGCAACAAGGACGAGCATAGGCCTCCGTTTATGCTGGGCCTTGTTCGGTTTTCGAGCGGCGTTAACATCAGGAGCGTGAGAACCTTCCCATCCCAATTGGCCAGGTCTTCGGCGCCCTTCGGCTTGGAATCACGCACTTGGGTTTCAAATGATTTCCCTTCGTTTCTATCCCAGTTTTTGCTTATCTCTATTTCTCTCTTTTCTGTCAATTTCTCTATTCTTTTGTCTGGTCTTACATTTATTCCAATAAAGGCGAAGATACGGAAAACATATCACCCTTGTATATTTCCACCTTGCCGAACTACCAGAATCGTAACGATGACTCCAAAAAAGAAAAAAACAGAAGAAAAAATGCATATGGATCACTTAACAAAAATAAAAGACAATGTTCCTCACCGAACGTCACTGCAACGTCACGGCGAACAAAGAAGTTATTCGTTGTTTACATTATAACGTCAAAACGCACGACAGTCCATCATCTTCCCTGACAGGACCAAGGTTTCTGACGGGTTGTTTTGGACAGATAAGAGGACACGAACACGCATGGGCACATGTACGCAACGGGAATAAAAAAATAGATTACACACATATCAGCAGACATTCATGCATGTCCCCGTTTACGTAGAGGTGTGTGCGTGCTCATGTCCCAAAATCTACGCTTTCTGAGGCCCTATCGAAATATCCTCCAACCACACACATCCCTTCCTCCACTCACCTCATCCCCCTGACATGACGCAGACACGCAAGGACGACGATCGAGTCGTCCTGCTCACAAAGCCCGTGGGAAACAGATAAGCCCTTCCCCTCCGCCCCACCCAGCCCGCGAAGGCCTGAGCAAAGGCCTTTTGACAACACCGCCAAGGCCGCCCCGTCACCCCGCCTCGACCTGCACGTAGACGCAACAGGAAAGGCAACGCGAGAGAGAACATCGACGGAAAGATAACATCCGCCCCCCCCTCCCCTTCCTCCCCTGGAACCCCTTCCCCCAGATCTTCCACTTTCTTCCTCTTCCGCCAAACCTCGCGGGAAGATAGACGACATAAGGGGTCACAACACATAATAGGAACCCCGCCCGTTCCCCACATAGTTCCCCACATAGATTACTCCACCTTACCCCTCCCCCTCCTCCCGTTCTTCGCTCTCTTTACCGATTTCCCCTTCCCTTCCTTCCCATTCCCCCCTTCCTTTTCCATCTTTCAACCCCCACCTTACCCTCCCCTTACCTCCCCCTCTGGCCTTTTCCACTTTCTATACCCCTATTTTTTTTTTTTTTTTACTTGTGTCCCCTCACACACTTCTCCCTCAACACCCATTAAAAAAAAATTTACCGATCTGCTTCTCTCCATTCCCCACTTCAGCCTTTTCTCCTATTTTCCCATATTTACCTCCCCTCCCTATTTCCCCCCACAACCCAACCCCTTTTTCCCCATCTTCACCTCCCTCCCCCACTTAACCCACCCCTATTCTACCCCATCTTCACTTCCCCTTTCCCACCTAAACCCTCCTCCCTCCCCCCCGCCCCCCCCTTCCCTCCTTCCCCCTCTTCCCTCTCCTCCTCCTCCCCCCCACCTTCTTCCTCCTACACAGGATAAGGCCGCCATTAAGACCGTTACTGGATTCAAGCCGCAGGGCCGTTGATTCTCCTCGGGGTCGCCTCCACACACACGGCGCGCGCTCCATCGACCCTCGCTCTCCTCGCTACAAGTCCCTGGCTCATTGGCTTCCTGTTATTGGGTATGTCTGTCTGTCTTTAGGTGTGTCTGTCTGCGATTCAGTTAGACAGTCAGTCAGTCTACCTGTCTGTCTGTCTGGCAGTCCAGTCCAGTCTGCCTGTCTGTCTTTTCCCTCTGTCTGTCTGTCTGGCAATGTGTCTGTCTTTAGGTCTGTCTGTCTGTTTGTCTCTTTCTTTCTTTCTTTTCTTTTCTTTCTTTCTTTCTTTCTTTCTTTCTTTCTTTCTTTCTTTCTTTCTTTCTCTTCTCTCTTTCCCTTCCCTTCCTCTTGCCCCTGCTTCTCCCCCTGCCCCGCACTACGGCGCCCCCGCTACACCGGAAGCCATTAGTGAGTGTACGGAGTCCCCGGTCGCGGCGGCGGGGCGGTGATTCGGCGGCAACGGTAGTAACGATTACGAAAACGCAGCCACGAAACCCCGTGCCCTTGCGTCCTCGCCCAAGCTCCCCTGGTCGTCGTAGGTAGACAAGTAAATAAACTGACAAATAATGAATTGATAAAAAATATGGCAAAGAAGAAACCAATGCAAAAAAGACAAGGCAAAGAAGAAGAAAAAGAAGCAAATAAAAAAGAAGGAAAAGAAGTAAAAAAAGAAAAGAAAAAAAGACGATGACATAAAAATAGAAGGGAAATAAGAAGAAACAAACACAAAAGAAAGACGGAAAAGTAAAAAACAAAATAAAAATAAAAAAAAATAAAGTACAAATAAATACAAAAAGAAAGAAGGAAATGAAAGAAAGAAAGAAGGAAAAGAAGCAGAACTGCACACAAGCCGTTTGACCGTTGGCGTCGCACAGGAACACGACGCCGGGCACGAGCCTCCAACGACACCACTGCCTCAGGCCTTTGATCGAGGCACAATCGAGGCAGGCGTCATAATTACATGTAATTGCCCAAGTTCCTTAATAACCAACATCCTTTACCACCGATATATAATCCACGCCCTGACTCTTGCTCCTTAAAAAAATACGAAACTCCTCCCATCTGACAATGTTCATTACAGAATTAAGCTACGAAATGCTGCAACTATTATGCTCAACTACAGGTGTTTCTAACTTAACGCTCAACTGCAGGTGCTTAAAATGACCCTCAAAAAAATGCTGCAACATCCATCAATCAAAATACAGATGTTTCCAATGACCCTTAAAAATGCTGCAACATCCACACTCAAATACAGATGTTTCCAATGACCCTTAAAAATGCTGCAAACATCCACACTCAAATACAGATGTTTCCAATGACCCTTAAAAATGCTGCAAACATCCACACTCAAACAGATGTTTTTTCTTATGACCCCTCAAATGCTGCAAAACATCCACACTCAAATGCAGAATGTTTCTTATGACCCTTAAAAATGCTGCAACATCCACACTCAAATGCAGATGTTTCTTATGACCCTTAAAATGCTGCAACATCCCACTCAAATGCCAGATGTTTCCAATGACCCTTAATGCTGCAAATCCACAGCTCAAATGCAGATCTTTCCCAATGACCCTTAAAAATGCTGGCAACATCCACACTCAAATAAACAGATGTTTATCTTATGACCTTAAAAAAACACGCAGACGTGCTTCTTAATGACCCTTAAAAATGCTGCAACATCCACACTCAAATACAGATGTTTCTAATGACCCTCAAAAATGCTGCAACATCCACACTCAAATACAGATGTTTCTTATGACCCTTAAAAATGCTGCAACATCCACACTCAAATACGATGTTTTTCTTATGAACCTATAAGAAATGCTGCAACAGTCCAACACTCAAAATACAAAAATATTTCCCAATGACCACTTAAAAAATGCATGCAACAATCCACTCTAAATGCAGATGTTTCTTATGACCCACAAAAATGCTGCAACATCCCACACTCAAATGCAGATTTTTCCAATGACCCTTAAAAATGCTGCAACATCCACACTCAAATGCAGATGTTTCCAATGACCCTTAAAAATGCTGCAACATCCACACTCAAATACAGCTGTTTCTCGTGCGCCCGGCATGAACCAGGTCAATTCTGGTTCTGTACTCAC